AGAATAGAAAACCCAGAATTAAACCCATGCTTAAAAAATCAACAGATACTTGACAAGATGACAAGATCTGACAATGGAGAAAGATAGTCTTGCACAAATGGTGTTGGGAAAATTGGAAATCCACATGCAAAATAATGAAATTAAGCTGTTATCTTACTCCAAAGACAAAAATTAACTGAAAATAAAATATTGATTGAAGACTTAGATGTAAGATGTGAAACCATAATACTCCTATATCAGGGAAAACTTAATTAATTTGGTCTTGAGAATGATTTCTTGGCTATGAGACCAAAAGTGTAAGCCTCAAAAAGTAAAAAGACATAACTGGGACCACAGTGAATTGAAAAGCTTCTGCAGAACAAAGAGTGAAAAAACAACTTACAGAATGTGAGAAGTTATATTTGCAAACCATATATTTGATAAGGAGTTAACAGATAAAATACATAAGAGATATCAAGTTTTTTTTTTTTTTAAGTTTTTGCCTTAGGGCATGAGCACTCACTGGAGAGAGATAGAGAGGAAAATTGAGAAATCACCCTACAGGGGCTTAAGCCACACCTCAATCCCTTCTCTTCCGTTCTCCTCTTGGGATTTTAGACATGCATGCACATGCACCTGGTGTGATATATTTGAGAGAGATTTTTGCTATAGGGTACATGCACTCACCAGAGAGACAGAGAGGCAGAAAGTGAGAAATTACCCTCTAAGAGGCATGGCCGCACATCAACCTTCTCCTCCATTCTCCTCTCAGGATTTTGGACACACACACACACGTGCCCAATGTGAGTTTTAAGTCACCGGGTCTGGGTCTACTACATGGGAGTCCAGTGATGTAATCATTACACAATCCACAGATCCTGTGTCCAGCATGATTTTTAAGCTCCCAGGTTGAGGACTCAAACTGTGGTCAGCAATGTGTCCAGCACCTTAACCACCACACTGCTTGCTGGCCCAGAAATATCAGATCTTTTATGCAGCTGTTGTAACAATCTTTAGTTGCTAGTTACATCATGTAGTTTTTCTTTTCTCAACAGTCTATAATACCTTCCTCCTCTAAAATAGACCTAAGCCACAGACACCAATGCACTTCACTTGGTTAACTTTTTCTGCATCTTTCCCAACTCAGGTATAATTCTGGTCATCTCCAGCATGACTGGGCTACCAAATTTATCTGCTATTTTTCTATAGGTCATGTTTATTACTTTTGCTGTTATAGCTTGCATTCACAGAATAAGAAATACAGAAATAAACAAGATTGTTTTTTCTCTATAATTTTTTAAAGAATTATTTAACCTTATTTATTATTAATATTTTCCAGTTTGATTGGAGGGAGAGAGAGAGAGCGAGAGAGAGAAAAAGAGAGAAAGAGAGAGAGAGAGAGAGAGAGAGGAGAGAGAGAGAGAGATCTTGAGAAAGCAAGCCACCAGATCCAGGACTTGAACTGTGGTCAGCCATGTAGGAATCCAGCGCCTTTAGCCATGACGCCACTTGCCATCCCCAACGTGATTGTTTTTAATGTTCAAAAGAGTATTGGTTATTCAAAGAAGTCACCTACAGAATCAGGTAATGTAGCGTTTTTTCCTTTACTATAACATTTCTCTTAAAAAAAAAAAAAAAAAGATAACCTAAGGATATATGGAAACAAGTCAGAAACCCATATACGCCAAGTCTGAGAACAGACTAGTAGGAAAGATAAGAAATGCCATTTTGGTTCAAAATAACAGGCTGCTATCATGAGAAAAAATGTACTTTCTTGTAAATTGAGGGGCATAACAACATTTTTAAATAAGTATGCAGCCTCTCAAGGAAATTACTTTAGGTAGGGAAGGTGGAACTCATTTAGAAGAGTAAGTTCTAATATGTTTAAATGCTGGATCATACTGCCCTACTGAAACTTCCTCTACTAGTTGCAAGATTTTACTTACCTTTTGTTTATTTACTCTCACAGTAAAGTTTACTTCCACTACTGCTCTTTTAAAATGAATGATTGTGTGCCATGTGTATGAGAGAAAGCAGATGAGAGATCAAGAACTATTGACAGGGTCTTGTCATATGGCAATTCCCATCCCCCAGTCCTCCAGCACTTCAGGATCTTGGGCATCTCTTTGAGACTAGCATACTTTTCAGGCTGATCCTGGGATCCAAACTTCCTGCATTTCAGTCCCTTATGTGAAGGACATATGACCTGGCTGAGCCCACTATTAACTCTCTAGTCAAACTCTGGGCATTCATATTTTAAACTTCCATGCTAGAAGTTTTCATACTTGTTGCTAAATATGTCTGAACATGTCTGAAACACAATTCCTCATCTTTGATTCCTCAAATCCCACTCTTCTTCTGACTTCTCTATAGGAGAAACAAAGGGCTGTTAAACTCAACCTCCACAGTCTACACAGGTCAATTAACCTACAGAAAGACACACTGTAAAAACAGGGCAGGTCCATTGAAGAGGAGTGTGTTAGTGTTGGAAGCAATTCAAAAACGGTGCTTTAAATTCCCCTTTCCTCCCTCCATGACTCATGTGGTAACCAAGGCAACAGATGATTTTGAAGAATGACGTTAAATGAAAAAAATCTGGATGTATTATATTAACATTATCAGAATCCAAAGATTGGATGTAGGAGAAAAAGGTAGGGAAAATCCAGGAATAACTGTAGATTTCTGACTAGTACCATTGGATATATCAGGTGCAACCAATTCTCTGATATAAGGAATAAGGAGAGGAGTAGGTTTGGGGGAGATAGAAGACAATTATGTCACAGGTGTGCAGTTTAGGTTGTGGCAAAACCCAAATGGAGTGTCAGTTGTATGGCTGACTTTTAAGTTTGAATTTCAGAGAAAAAACTATCTTCTAGTTATCTATTCTTTAATTTTACTATTTCTATTCTTTAACCATATTGGATGACAAATCTATCAGCCCTCTCCTGGTTTCATTTTATTCTATAACTTAGTGATTCTTTAATTAAACTCATTCTCATCATTTAACACATTTAACACTTTTTCCCCCACACCAACATGGCAGAATCCTGGACTTGTAACAATATAATCATGTCCTCTAATTTTACACCTTGAGGGGTAAGTAGAACAGAAAAAAAAAACACAGGTTTTGAAAATTATTGCCAACACAAATCCAAACTCCAGCGTTCAGTTGGTTTCTCAACACTTAAAATTCAACACTCTATTCAGAACATTGGCATTCATTCTTTCTGTGTAGTCTCCATTCATTACAACTGTTCTAAACAATCAAACCTGTATCATTCTTCTCAATCCCTTTAGGCCTTTGCTCCTTACAAATGACTCTACCTCCTACTTTATTTTAAACATCACCTGTAAAGGTGTAACACCAAAGTTCTTACCTCCGGGCAAGACTGCTGAACTTCAGGCCAAGAGACTTTCAGGTGTCTCTATCTGCATTTTCTATGCTGCAAGCTCAGTTCAAAACATAACTCCTGGGCCAGCCAGTGGTGTGGTGACTAAGGCAGCAGGATCTCATGTGGCTGACTCTGTGTTTAGAGTTCCAAACTCTGTGGCTTGGAAAACATGGCCGGCGTGTGCGTGTGCGTGCGCCCAGAATCCCTAGAGGAGAATGTAGGAAAAGGGACTGCAGTGTGGCCAGCCCTCCTTGGGAGTGCTTTCTCACTTTCCCTCTCTCTTTCTCTTTTTCCTGCAAGCCCATGTGCCCTACAGAAAAAAAAAAAAAAAAAAAGTAACTCCTTCATGGCCAGCTCCTATATCAATGAGTATCACTGTTCAGGCTAACATCATCTATTGCTTGGATTATCTAATTATGCAGAATTGTTCTCTTTGTCTCCAGCCTAACTTTCCATCAGTTGTCATTATAATAATATTTTAGTTAGCATGTGTATTTCCAAAACACAAATTTAGTGAGAGAAAACCATTTTCTTTAAATTCATTTTGCTTAAACGTACTTTATCCAAATTAAAATGAAGGTTTATGTTAAATTTTGGATAAAAGGACTTTAGGTTGTTCAGAAGCACTTTATAGTACTCAAAAGTAGATTGGAAAAAAAATACACATGCACTAAAACTGGAGTCAATAATAGGATAGCCCCCAAGCAACTATTCAGTAGGTAATTAGTTTTGTTTTTTTTTAGTGACTCTGGGTTTTAAAGATGACTTTACAATATACAATTTTATGGTAGAAATGAGCAAGAACATGAGCAGCACATTTAAAAAAACCCATGCAATTTTGTCAAATAGTACTTAGAGGAAAATGATTCTTCTTACATGTACTTATTAAAACACTGGAAGAATTGAAAATAAGTGAATTCCATGTTTACCTTGGGAGGCTAAAAAAAGAAAGAAAGAAAATTTAATGACAGTAGGAAAAATATTTTATCAATCAAAACATAATGAAAGAAATAAAATTTAAACTCTACAGACAAAATCTGATTAAAAAAAATCATGACAGAAGACCAACGAAGAAGGAAAAACAGAAATGATAAGTAAATGATACAGGAATAACAAAGGCAATAACTGAGGCTGGAAGGTGACTCGGTGGTTGAGGCGCTGGACTCCCTTATGGTTGACTGCAGTTCAAGTCTCAGACCTGGCAGCTTGCTTTCTCACTTTCCCTTTCTTTCTCTCTCTTGTTCTGGTCAAATAAAAGAAAAATAGTAATTATAGGTAAAATCAAATAAATGCTTTTTTTTTAAAAAAAGGAGAAGAGATAACTATAGGTCTGAATTAATTTAAATGAGAAAATGGAAGAAAATTTTCCAAGAGTATGTAAATCACTAAAAATTATGTAGAGGTGAAAAATCTGAATCAATCACAGTAAAATAGTAATTACTGATATTCACAAGGTAATTAGACCAGATAATTTAATTGGGTTCAGAAAAATCTTGTGGTACTCAAACTCTTTCTGAACAAAGAAAAATAGAATATTTCCCAATTCATTCTGTATAGCTAGTGTAACCTCTGCACCTAAATTGTGTGTGACCTAAAATATGCACCAATCTTATTTATAAAAATGGATGTATCCCATTTCCAAGAATTACTGTTTCCTATAGCAGTGGTTTAAACAGAAGTGCAAACAATTAAAGAATCTCATCCCGCTTAGGGGGCTGTGGCTGTGCCCCTTAAAACGAATGTGGAGGTTCTTGCCCCTTCCCATGGGGCATAGTCATGCTGAAATTTCTTTTCCATTTCTTCCTTCTTTTGAGATTTTAAGCAAGCACGCACACAAGCCCGCTGTGTTTCTCAAGCCATTGGGTCTGGGTCTTGAACAACACATGTGGGATCCAGCTGCTTTAACCACATACCATGGGCTGGCTCTATATTTTTTTGAAGCATTAAATATATACCAAGAGACCTTCATTTTAACCTGCAAGCTTACTTTGCTTTGCTGGTTACATTTATGGGGCTCTATTACTAACTGGTTAAATGATGAGTTATTTTTCCAAGTCTGTCTTTTAAACCATCTTGGTCATTCTCAAATAAATGATGTTAAGGTTGATACAGGGAAGTCCTGTAACATCTGTAATAAACTTGAGTTGTTTTTCTTTTTTTTGGGGGGGAGGGGTATTTAGAGATATTAACATAAATCTATAAGGTGATTTTTTCCCCCCTATTCTAAATGAGGGTTAGGTAAATTTGACTGATGGCGAGCTTCCTGGTAAAGTGAAGGCAATTCCTTTTTGTACAGGTGAAGCAGACTGATCTTGAATTTTAAGGGATGAGTGTGCTCAGGCTTGTAATTGCTATCCCTTGTTCTCTCTTTCCATCACAACTTACTTGTGCTTATATTTGAAGGGTTTGCATGAGTTGAGTCTTTCTCTTTATTGTGAACTAATTACCACTTGTGAGGCTGTTAAGTGGAATTTGAAAGTTGCATTTCGATGTCCACATAATCAATCTCCCCCCTCCTTTGTCTTCATTGTTTTTGAAGAGAAAGAGTAATGTGTGCATCTGTGTCCTCAGTCAGCTATTTCTGAGTTTAATGGATGTGATGATTTGTTATAAAACTGTGCACATTTAAGAAGTATTCAATGCATAGAAAAGGATGGCAATTGCTAAATTTGCTATGTCCTCTGTGAAAACTGACAGAAAAGTCATGTGATAAAAGACACTCCTGAATCTTATTTTCTTAAAAAAAATTTAATCAAGCACAAGATCAAGAGCAATTTCATCTCAGATTCATGTCTAAATGAAACTTCAAAATTCTACCGAAGACTCTCTCAAATGGATAATTAGTTCACAGCAAAAAGAAAGACAGAACCCTAGGATCGCCAGCCTCTTCTGGAATTGTGCCCTCTGGGAGAAAGGGCTGCCTGAGAGCTGCCTCTATGTAGTAGCGGGTCATATTCTGGTTACCTCAAGGCTCACTGGGTCTGCACAGAAGCTGGGATGTAATCAATGAGCAGTCTTGTCCCTTCAGGCTAATGGCTGGACTCCCTCTAGTGGTCGTAATAAGAAATTGGACTCTCGGTGCTTAGATGAGACTAAACCACAGCGTGTAGACAGTTCTTCACGCGTGGCTGCTCTGCTGTCAGAGCATCTGAAGGTGACTAAATAAAACAAGAAAACACAGAGCCTCTCGGGTGTTCTATATCAGGCGTCTGATATCTCCCATCTGCCGGGTAGGATTCTGTCACAGATGAGGCCTGGCAGGTCGGAAGTGCTTTCGCTCACCTGAAGCCAGTCTCACACTGAAGGTTGTTTGGTGCGTTGTGTTATTTGAAACAAAGGATGACGATAGCAAGCGTACTGGGTGGAGTGTCGGGAAAATTGATTCCTCTCTGTGACTGCGATCAGAAATGTGAGATAAAACCTCTGTGGGAACGGTTTCCTTAGGTCTGCAAGGAAAGCCTGAGACATGAGGCTGTTTCTTTAAGATACCCTTTCAGAAGCCTAGGTGGGTGCCTTGCAGGGCTCAAGGGATTTCAAAGTCAAGAGAAGAGATAACATGTTAATGCACATGTCTGTAATACATTATGGTAAGTGCTAAATTACAAGGAGAAAAATTTCTAAAATATAATTAGAAAGTGCTAAATTGCATACCAGAAGGCCACAAGAGAGTTACATAGAGGAAACTCAGAATTATACAATTACTTGTAGGTGGTAGGAAGGAGGAGGTGTCATGAATACTGATGTCCATTCGTGTCTGTGTCTTGGCTATCAGAGGCTGTATCTATGTCTCCACCTGGTCTCTCTCTCTGTATACACGCTGAAAAGCACATACATATAAATATACGTGTATGCTCAATAAAATGAAACCCATAATCAATGAAAGACAGATGACCGTGTCGGGAAAACATCTGCAACGTGAAAAACAGATAGTATTTTATATTCATAATGAATAAAGCCTAAAGAATTCTTAGAAATAAATAATAAAAATACAAACTCCTTAGTGACAAAATGAGCAAAGGATATAAACAGCCCACTCTCACAAAAAAAAGAACTAGAGATATATAATATCTCTAATGTTACAAATAAATTTAAACCTCCTAGCAATTAGAGAAATCAGCCTTTAGTTAATTCTAATTTATGTAATTATTATTTAATCAACTAAATTTAATCATTGTTAGTAATGGCACATTTTTTGAAAGAATTATTTAATTTGATCTATTATCATTTACCACTATTATTATTATTATTTAATTTGACCAGAGAGAAACAGAGAGAGAGAGGGAAAGTGAGAAAGCAAGCCAGTAGGTTCAGGACTCAAACTGTGGTCAGCCATGCGGGAGTCCAGTGCCTTAACCATCATGTCCCCTGGCAGACTCAGTAACAGTAAATTTTAAAGAGTTCTGGCTAAAGCAGTAATGTGTAAAGTGCAATAGCCAGGAACTTTCCAGAATGCTTGGTCAGAAGCTGAGGAGCAGCGATGGCCTGAGCTGCGCATAGCTATGTGCACCTTCTCGCTCACACTGGCCTCAGCCTACTCACTGGCTGTAGAAAATGGTGTAAGAAATGACTTACTATGATTACTATGATGTTTTGAGGGGCAAATCCAATGCTACCCAGGAAGAACTGAAAAGGGCTTACAGGAAACTGGCCTTGAAGTACCACTCTGGTAAGAATCCAAATGAAGGCAAGAAGTTTAAACAGATTTCTCAAGCTTATGAAGTTTTCTCTGATGCGAAGAAAAGGGAATTATATGACAAAGGAGAGAAGGCAATTAAAGAGGGTGGAGCAATGAAAGGTGGTGGTTTTAGTTCCCCAGTGGACATCTTTGATACATTTTTTGGAGGATACAGAGAGAAAGAAGAGGTAAAAATATTGTGTATCCGCTGTCAGTAATCTTAGAAGATGTTTATAATGGTGCGACAAGAAAATTGGCCCTGAAAAGGAATGTGATTCATGACAAATGTGAAGGCCGAGGTGGTAAGAAAGGAGCAGTAGAGTGCTGTCCCGATTGCCGAGGTACTGGAATGCAAATAAGAATTCATCAGACAGGACCTGGAATGATTTAGCAAATCCAATCTGTATGAATGGTGTGCCAAGGCCACGGGGAGTGGATCAATCCTAAAGATGCATGTGAGAGTTGCAATGGAGGGAAGATAGTTCAAAAGAAGAAGATTCTAGAAGTTCTTCTTGACAAAGGCATGAAAGATGGCCAGAAGATAACATCCCATGATAAAGGAGACCAAGAACCAGGACTGGAGCCAGAAGATATTATCATCGTACTAGATCAGAAAGGTCGCACTGTTTTTACTCGAGGAGAAGACCGTTTCAAGCATATGGACATACAGCTGATTGAAGCATTGTGTGACTCCCAGAAGTCAAGTTCCACTCTTGACAACTGAACCACAGTCATCACCTCTCATCCAGGTCAGATTGTCAAGCATGGAGATATCAAGTGTGTGTTAAATGAAGGCATGCCAATGAGACCATATGAAAAGGGTCATTTAATTTAAGCTAAACTTCCCTGAGAAGGGCTTTCTGTCTCCTGATAAACTCTCTTTGCTGGAAAAGCTTCAACCTGAAAGGAAGTAGAAGAGACTGATGAAATGGACCAGGTAGAACTGGTGGACTTCAGTTGACATCAGGAAAGATGGCACCATTACAATGGAGAAGCATATGAGGATGAACATCATCCCTGAGGTGGTGTTCAGTGTCAAACCTCTGAATAGGGCCAGTGAATAACACTCATGGCTGGCATTTCATATGCAGTAGTGAACGAGTGAAGGACTATAATCATAATATGCTCGCTACTTGCTGCCATCTTTGTTTTAACCCTCATCTATAGCAGCAAATTAAAAAGTTCAGAAAAAATAAAGCATGATAGCCATAACATTGGATGGGCCATGAAGAAATGGGCTGGTAGATATTAATGAAGGGAATGTGTATTAAGCCATCTAGAGAAAAGCCTGGAATCATAAAACAAATGTAAAAGGCTTGATTTTTTAAAGGAATATATCTACAAGAAACAACTGAATAATGAATACACAGAACTGTATAATAAACTTCATTGTAGCATTTTGTATAATAGCAAAATAGGAAGAAACAGCAAGTCAGAGCAAGAAACAAAATAGAACAGCAAAATGCTTCCTTGGAGCATTTTTTTGTATAATAGCAAAAGTAACAGCAAGAAACAAATAACCAATATTGTACTACCTGAGAGGAGTTAAAATGGCAATAGCCATATAATAGAGTATTGCACTCTACAGAAAATGTTTATAGACCTACATTTATAACACAAAAATATTTACAATATATTAAGGAAAAGGGCTTTCAAGAGAATATGTACAGCATGCTACAAGTTTATTAAAATATTAAACTGTGTGTGCACATAAATTCGCAAGGAAAAATAACCAGGAAGAACTAAATTAAAAAAATATAGCTAGTGGTATCTCTAGCTAAAATAACAGGCAACTTTCACTATTTATACCTGTCTCTGTTGTCGTATTTCCTACAATTATGATAAATTACTTTTATTAACAGATAAACCAATTAAGCAATTTTATTGTGCCTAGGGAAGCCTGAATGATGGAGGCGAATTCCCATGAAAATCTTGACATCTTCCACGATGTTTTCAAATCTGAAAGTATCATTTCCTGCTTCAGTTTATAGTACTGCAGAGGTAAATAAAGGGACTAACAAAAGAGATGCCTCCTTTCACAGACCATAAAAGTTCCATTTCGCTGGTGAAAAATCCTCTTTTC